CTTCAGGACGTTAGAAGGGATGTCGGCGATGAAATGGGCACCATTACTACTTTTCAGGTTTAACCCGTTGGCCTGTTTGGAGGGTATGTAGCAATAGTGGAATAAGTCTTTGTCGAATCGACCTAGACGGACATGAGAAAGGATGAGGAACGTGTTAATCGAGCAGATAGCGTTGGGAGGAAGTTGGTTGAAAGGAAGACCGAACCAGTCACATATTTCTAAAATTTCAGGACAAAGGGAGAAACGGACGCCCAATTTAAATTGCACCTCGAAAAAGGTGTGATTGCGAGCAAGAGGATTATCATAAGTGTCGTTGGAACCAGGGAAGTGAAACACCAGCCGACAGGATGGCCGAATCTCGACAGTTTTAGCCAGTTAGGAAGGGGACGAGACTTCGTAGGCCTGGGTCGAGATAGGACATGACTCGAGAATGGTTTGGTTTTGGTCGACTTGGAAGAGGAAGGAAGAGTGGTCGATGGTTTTGACTTGGTAATTTTGGGGGTAGAGGATAATTTCTAGCGTTGAGACAAAGGGATGCGGTCCTCTTCCTCACGAGCTACTTCAACGGCTTCTAGGGTAGCTTCTTCCGCATCAGAAGCGCCAAAAGCAGGTCGACGGTGTTTGATCAGAGGCATATGGTCGAGGGCATCCTCCTCTGGCCCGTCGACTAAGCAGAAAGGTTAGATGATAGACACGGGATCATCGGGGTGGATCATATTGAGAGGAGTAGGTTGATAGACTTCCTCAGCAGGGCGAGAGGGAGAGAGAGGTGTCGATCGGATAATTGGGGACGATGGCGGTGAATGCAAATTTTTGCCGGAGTGGCGGACGTTCTCAGTGGAAGTTGCTGAATCTGGAGAAGCGGTAAAACAACAAAACAAGGAAAAATGTTAGCAAAGGGACTTGATGGTTTGAAGAAGCAAAAAGAAGAAGGAGAAGAAGAGGGAAAACCGAAGCGTGATGGTTAGGGTTTTTCAGAGAAAGAGCAGGAGAGGAAAAATCAAAAAATTGAAAACAAAATTGAAGTCACAAGGTAAAGTTACGAAGACTTACTCATAGCTGTAGCGGGAATGTAGCCGAAGAATGCAGAATTGCTGAAGAGATAGAGCGCATGGAAGCAGAAGGTCTGTATTGCAAAGAGTAAGGGCGCATGAGATTTCAAAAATTGGTAAAGGTGAAAAAGTCCAGAAATTGCCTAAGTATTGATATTTATATGGAGAAGATTAGAAGAAGAGGAGGGGTTGAAGGAAGTAGCCGTTGGATTAAAAGCAAAATCCAACGGCTGGGAGCATTTATGGAGGCACAACACACGAGGAGGAGAAAAAAGGTGAGAGGACATAATGATGGACATATCTGACAAAGGAGGACAGGTGGCAAAGACAGGACCGTGTAGTAGTGGACAGGTGGGGAACGCATAAAGGAAAAGAAAGAGAATATGCGCGAAGTGGTCGATGACCGAAGAAGAAACGAACGACTAAGTAAAGACGACAAATTCTCACTCTTAGATCGAGTCATTCGGACTCGACCAGAGTGGGGGGACTAGATGATATGGGATATTATACCTCAATAAGTAAACCGGTACAACGAGCGGGTAGAGCAAAGCCGAACATATGTGGGACAGAGCCGGTCGAAGAGGATATGAAGAAACACAACCACAATCAGATCACCTTAGTGTCGAGGGGGCGAGAGTCTTGGCACAAAGAGCAGCTCATAAGGTAGAGGAAGTCTGGTCGACAAGAAGAGAGTTCGAGCAAAGAGTCGTCCAGGTGGTCAATACCAAGGTCAGAAGCGACCCGATGGTCAAGCACCCAAAAAGGAGGATAGGACGTGAGACAATGACTTGGATAAGGTCAACTACGAGAGTCTCCAATGGAATTGTCAGAGTGACGTCAGGAGGATCAGAGAGGGAATATTTTACCCATGTGTAGAGGGCACGTGGCGCGAAGATATTGGTGCGGAGGATAGTGGCGACGGCTACTTTTGACACACACACACACACACACACACATACACTGCGTGTGTACGGACGGGCAGTTGGGGCAGACAGCTCAACCAACCCGGGCAGCTCCTAGGGCGGGTATCTCACCTCTATGGGGGTGAGCCTTTCTTGTTAAACAAGATCATTCTATTTTCACTCATGAGAATTGATTGTTACTGACTTAAACTTCGGAGACTCTTCACCGGAAAACCCCTCTGGTGTGAGAGTTGTTTGTAGGGCACGACGTTCAACCGGCGAGAAAGAAGGCGATCACTCGGATTCTAGCCGGTCGGAGAGTTTTGTGGCTAGTAATAAAACATTAACACGTGCTGAATGACTACTTTCGTCATGTATAATATTAAAATAGTTTTTTGATGATTTTTCTATTTTGAATATAGAAACTCCTCTTCTCCTTATCTTTCTTTATACGTGGTTAATGAAAATTAATTTTGTTTTGGTCTTTTGTATTTCTTTTTCATGTGTCAAATGGAAATATTTTTTGGGGTCCTACTATGTCTTTCATTTTTCGATTATTATACTTAAAATTTGATCTAAAAATTTAAAATTTAAAATACAATTGTATCTATTCTACTTATTTTGTAATTTAATTATAGATTACAATTTTAAACATAAAAATAAAAAAGTGATCAATATTATTCAACATTTCGACTTTATCTATTATTGAACTCTTATTTAGAGAAATATCATTATACACTCTAAAATTAGTGATTAACATATAAAAAATTATATATTATATATATAATAAATAAAAAATTATATATCAGTTAAATCGGTTCAACCGGTTCGACCACTAGTTCGACCAGTGAACCATTGAACCGATAGTTTCACCGATTCGATGACCAGTTTCGATTTTCAAAACATTGAATGATAGTAACCTATGTCGTTTTGAAAAAAAAAAAAAACAAAGAAAGAAAAGAAAGAAAAACCCCATTCCCCGCTCTTGATTATTTCCTCATGTCCCGCCTACAGCAGCAGGATTTGGAGCAGAGCTGCAAAAACCCTATTCCAAATTGATTCTTCATTCTCATCACCACTTCATAATCCAACTGAAAACCCAATTGGAGTAGAATGAGCTACGCGGCGTACAAGATGATGCACTGCGCTACCGGCATCGAGCACTGCGCCTCGGGCTTTATCACCCATTCCGCGGCGGACTTCACGCCGAAAATACCTCCGGTCAGTGCCGATGACCTGGACTCTGACTGGCCCGCCTCCTCGAAGCCTGTTGGCCCATTCCCAAACCTTGTCACGGCCGCCGCCAACATTCTTGAAGTCTACTGTCTGAGAATTCAGGAGGAATCTTCTCCTTCCAGGGATTCAAAAGCTGCCGTTGAGCCAAAGCGTGGGGGTGTTCTGGCAGGCATTTCCGGTGCGTCCCTTGAGCTTGTTTGCCATTACAGGTATCTTTTTCTCCTTTTTATATCTAACAGTTACTTGAATAGAAAATTTTCAAGTTTGAATTCGTGTAAGGCTTCTTGCGTGTGAATTTGGTTTGGTTGTTAATCAACTGTGCTGAAGTTAGCTTTAATCAATTCAATTGAGCCCAAATAGTTTTGATAAATTACATTTTTTCTTTACTATCGAGGGGGCTCAAGTCATGTTTTTCCTTTAAGAACACTTAAAAATCTGTCAAGCTTAGTTTGTTATATCCAAAAACTGAGTTTTAGTGATCTTTTGGCAATTCTCGATTCGTATCACAAATATTTTTGGAAATCGCATCGCTGCTGTCTGAGGCGGTCCGGAATTTAGGGTCTTTGGTTGCGTGCAGTGCCTTTGTCTAGCCAAAGGCGACTCAGATGTGTTGTGTACCTTACCCCCATGGCCCTGCCCAGTTCAAAAGTATCAAAAAAGTAAAAAATAAAAAATAAAATAAAATTAAAGTTCACCAAGAACAAGTATGACAATTGTGAAATCCGGGGCTTAAGGCTTCTCTCCTTCAATCTGAAATTTGGCACCCGAATTAGAGTTATACTATTATGGAACCCAATTAAGCAATTTAGGTCTGAAAATTGGAGGGACAACAGGCTGAGATCTTGCCATCTTCATACCTTAGCAGACTTCTGTTGACCCCCAGGAAATTAGTGTTTCTGGGCTTTTCTTTCTCCTTTCTTTCCTGTTTCCAACCTGTTATCTGCTTTTTCTATTTATCTTTTTCATCATTAGTTTCTGTTTGAGTGTTCTCATTTTAGTAGCTTCTATTTTTTATTTTAATTTTATATTTATAGCTGTTTTTTCCTATTTTTTTTTTTCAGTTTATTTATTTTATGTTTCTAATGGTATTTTTAGGATTCCAGTTTTATCTTTCGGGGGCTAATGTTGGCTGTGGCTTGTGTTCTTTCCTTCCTGTGGATATTAAAGGTTTATTTTGCCATTTGAACATAAATATGTAATTGAACCATCTAGATTAGTCATTAGTGTTTTTTACACTTTGGCCTCTTATGTTTCCGAGGACTCTCCATGGACTTGCCCCTGGCCTCGTGGCTATCCATGGGCAAATAGCTTTGGACCGCTACTGGCCATTTAAAACTATGGTTCACGGTGGAACACATCATCCCCGCTCCACTTATGTAACCTGATTATTTATGATCTATAAGCTTAAATAAATATGTACTTACAATTCGTATGATCTATCAAGATTCTTTAGTGTGTGTTTTTAGAACTTTTCGTAGGATTACTTTTGTAATTGATGTTGTTTGTTCATGTTTTCATTATACTTTGTATTCTATCTTTGATGTAACATAGTTCACATCATGGGGTTTCTTCAATTTATTGTTTCTTTGGACTGGATGATTACTCTCTGAATTAGCAACACAATTGCTCACCAATTAAGAGAAACGTTAGTATGTTTTTGACATATATTCTATGATTTAGAATCCTTAATTTCTAAAACTTTGGTATGCACTCGTATATATAATTCTTTATTATTATATGATGTACTTATTTTACCAGAAAAGTAGTTGCGTATGTTTTGAATTTTGTTGATAATAGTAATGCTCTGTAGGTTGCATGGCAATGTGGAGTCGCTAGGTGTATTACCTAATGGTGTTGGTGATGGTAGAAGGAGAGATTCAATTATTTTGACTTTTCGAGATGCAAAAATTTCAGTTTTGGAGTTTGACGATTCAATACACGGACTCCGCACCAGGTAAGCAGTAATCTTATTACACAAACCATGTTCCAACATGTGGAGGAAAATAGAACCAACTTTTGTTGAATTAATAGGTTTCAGAGCAATTCATGAGGAATTTGATATTTTCTATCTGAAATGGGATACATTATTATTATTATTATTATTATTATTATTATTATTATTATTATTATTATTATTATTATTATTATGTTTCTTTAAGGATCTGTATTCGTATGTATACAAAGGATACTATAACATAAAGCAAGCTGTGAGCTGCTGAATAATTTGAGAGTCTAATTTACCATCAAGTTCTTGTTATTACTTGCTTTTAGTTCTACTTTTTGCTCAATCTTGATATTATTCATGTCATTGACTTAACTAAATATTGCTAATTCGTATAATGTTGTTCATCTATTTTTCTCTCTTTCAGTTCGATGCATTGTTTTGAGGGCCCAAATTGGCTACACTTGAAAAGAGGTAGAGAAAGTTTCCCAAGAGGTCCACTAGTGAAAGTTGAACCACTGGGGAGGTGTGCTGCAGTCCTTGTTTATGGATTACAAATGACAGTGCTCAAGGCTGCCGAGGTTTTTGTTCCCTATGTATTTTAACTGTGTTGCATCTTTTGGAATATGGTCCTTGTGTTATTTATTGAGCGGTGTTATCAAATCGCAGCCATGGTGGTGTGGTGTGGCGGATTTTTGCCAAACCACCATACTAAATTTGTGAAGGATGGCGGTTATGGCGGTGCCATAGGCTACCATTGTGGTCGGTCTAGCGGGTTTTTGACCTGCTGCCATTTACCGCCATCTGCCATTAATAACACTGTTATTGAGGATGTGTAAATTAAATTTTATTGCTCAAATATTAATATGCTATTCGGGTCAGTAAAATGCTAGCCATAATAGCTCTATGAAAATGAGTACTCTGTCATGATTGTACATCATCTTTTGCGTCTTTCTTGAGAAATGAGGATACTGCTCTGGAAGTTTTTTGGAGTACTTATTTGGAATAAAAATAATGCATTATCAGTCATCATCATCCTCTTTTCTTGTTTTCTAACACTGAAACAACATTTGACATATATGTGCTTGTATATAAGGTGTAAGGTCAGGACTATACAACCCTTTGCTAATACTTGCAAGTTGCATGGTGCTATGTTATGCAGTTATATTAACGAAAAAGTTGATGGCTTATTTTCTTATGCTTCTTTTGGCCAATGTTGAAGAAACTAACAAATCGGAGAAATTTGGTTGATGATGTTATAAAGGCTCATGTCGTCAGACAATCAGCGTGCTATTTGATGTTCATATTTGTGTTCCCTTTTAAATACTTGTGATAGCAAATTTGTTTACTCGTGTCCTACTGAAAACGTACAAGAATACTATAAAAATAACTATATTCATTAACCATGCCATAATTATGTTGATGCAAAATTCTCTTTTTTACCAATATATTTTGCTCGAGCCAACATTTCTGTATTGCTCCGCAGCATACAAACAGCGCTAGGTATAGGTAGAAAAAAAGTAATGCTTTTGAAACAGTTTTATACTTAAAATGGAGAGAAAGAGCTGAAATCTATTGGATATATTGATTGAACTTAATTGTTAGTAGTAAATTATAAACCCTATCACATGGCAGATAAAACAGTAGAACATTGCTTTTGTAGCATCATGTCACCAATTCTATTTCTCATTTGTATTTAAGTATTTATTTGGAGGGGACTCGAGAATGGGTGTTGCTGTATTTGAGTTCCTTCTCAAGACTAATCCTTTGCCTATGCTGAAACAATATTCTGATTTTAGGCTACCTCTGGTTTGGTCGGCGAGGACAGCTCTTATAGTTCTGGGCCTACAGGTGCTTCTAAAATTGAATCTTCATATGTTTTTGGCTTACGAGAGCTTGATATGAAGCATGTTAAAGATTTTATCTTCATTCACGGTACGTCTGACTTGACTAATTTTATTCCCATCTTTTTCCTGAGAAACTATGTTTCAAAGATTGCAATGAAGCCATATTTTGTAAATTGTCAATATGTGTTGTATATTTAAGATATTGTATCTTGAGCGTGTGTATGTGGATAGTTTTTTCCCTGTTATGTTTTGCTCTTCCTCCATGTGAACCTTGGCTCTCATGCAACCTGCTGTTTATGTTATTCGAAGGAGTGGAAAAGTTTGCTCCTTCAGCCAGCCTATGAAACTCTTGCTAGAAGTGATTTTACACAAAGCAAACTTGAGCCAGAGTTTGTGCCATTTTATAGCAGAACCTTATTTTCTATTAATGAAATAATGCTTGAGTGTCAATATTGACTACCTTGGTGATCCTGCATAAATCTAGAGGAGTCCAAATTGTCTGAGATAATTTTTTACGTTAAACTTTTGTACCTTTGCTTTTGTTCCCTACTTATGTAGGAGCCATTTCTCCTGGAACACCTTAAATTGTTGGCCTTGTTTATGCTTTTACATTGTTCCATTCCATTTTAAGTCGGTCTCGATCAGTGACATTTTGGATGGTTAATAGCTAAATATTTGGCAGGTTACATTGAGCCTGTTGTGGTAATCCTACATGAACAGGAGCTTACATGGGCCGGCCGTGTTTCTTGGAAACGTCATACTTGCATGATTTCTGCACTCAGCATCAGTACAACTCTAAAGCAGCATACACTCATTTGGTCCGCAAGGGTACGCTAGAATCTCACCTTTTGGGACCCTACTAAGGGCTAATCATAATCTCAACACTTTTACCCTTCACTTGTTTGTTTGAAATTTGTCATACTTGTTGTGTTCAGAACCTTCCTCATGATGCATATAAGCTCCTTGCTGTTCCATCCCCTGTTGGTGGAGTTCTTGTAATTGGTGCAAATACAATACATTATCATAGTCAGGTATGCCCCCTTTTGGGATCGCATTTTCCACTATCTCTTGAATTTAGATGTTTATCCTGCTAAAGTTTCCTTTTTCAATTTAGATGTTTATCCTGCTAAAGTTTCCTTTTTCTTTTCATTATTTATTTTCCTCTTTAACCTTTACTCTCCTGTCCACTCCTTTCGAAATTTGATTGGACAGGCAGCATCATGCATCTTGGCCTTGAACAATTTTGCTGTTCCTGTTGATGGCAGGTGATCTTAATGCCTTCGCCCTTGTTTCTCCTCTGCCTCCAGAACATTCTAATTTCCTCTTTATCATCTAATCACTACATGGGCTTACTAAATTTAGTGAAGTACCATGCTAGCCTATGTTGTTGGGTAATTAAGTTATATCTAATGTATATTGCCCATCCAGTCAGGAGATGCCTAGATGTGGTTTCACTACAGAGCTTGATGCCGCTAATGCAACATGGTTAACAAATGATGTTGCCGTGTTTTCAACAAAATCGGGGGAGCTGCTTTTACTGACTTTAGTTTATGATGGGAGGTTGGTAACTTTTTGTTTGTTGTACTATTATTTTTTTTTAATCCTTCACAAACATACTATTATCTTCTTTCTTAATCCTTCATTAATAAAAACAAGGTGAAGTTTCTATGCTGTTACTTGTTTTTAAGGAAGATAATATTGTAGAATGTAGCTTAATTGTTCTTGTGACTTTTTCCTACACACTAATAAGCACACAACATATTTCCGTAGCAAAGTTCAGTCTGACAGTAACAATTATAGAGATGCATGAGAAATAGTAGATTGTTTACTCAGGAAAAGGGAAACCGGCTGGAAAGGATTAAAACAGTGATGCGATATTGGAAGCCTGACTGATGGTATTAGCTCGAATCCTAGGATCCTAGCCCATTGGGCATGGAAGACTATCAAATCTTTATCTTACTTTATCTTTGTTGTCTTATTACCTTATATAAATGTTCAAAGGGAGCCAGGAAGTTCTGATTTGGCATTGAAAAAAATGATCTTAGTAGCTTGGCCATGGGGAAGTTACCTATTTCTGCCGTTCTTTTTTAAAATATCATAATTTTGTCTCTACAGTGATTTAATTCTTCTAACTATTGGTCCGACCTAAGGGCTGGGAAGTGCTTGAGTGCCAATTCACTAATGTCGAGTAGGCTATCTCCAAACTTATGAAGTTGGTCACCCAATTTTTGTCAACATAGTATACTATGAAGAAAGTTGCACCTAAGTTGATTAGGACTACCAAACGGACGTAGAAACCATATTTTGGTGGCACAGACCCGCTCAAGTGGATGGCTTGATTGAGTAATATTTCACAATCCATATTACGCAAGATGAGTTGTGTGTTTGCACACATTTGTAGCATGGAAGGCCTTAGCTTCATTGGAAGTGATGGCTACTACAACAGACACCTCTACGGACATGGTCACAACTCAAAACTCATCTCATGGAGCTACTGTTGATTGTTCATCAAATCAATTAGGTATGCTGGATGAATATTGCGATGAATTTCATGCAATGGGCTGCCTATATCCTAGTGTTACCCTCTGTTAGTCCCTGTTCGTTCACTGCTCAGGTAAGCAAAAATGCTTCCGGCACAAACGAACACTTTTAGGATGAAAGAAGAAGATTGTGAACAACTCAATGTATTGAGTATTAAGTTTTTCTGTGTCTTTACAAACAAAAACTGCATCCCTATTTATAAGAATTAAAAACAACTATCTTAGTGACTTTCCTAGAAATTACTTAAGTTGAAAAGTCATGAAAAATCAGCCTAAAATGGCTGCCATGAAAGTGCTTTGCAGCTGCAAGGAAGTTGCAGCTGCACTAACAAGGAAGCTGCCACTAACAAGGAAGCTGCCAGGAAAACAGCAGATTATATCTTACAATTCTTCCCCTAATCCTGCTGTTCTTGCTTGTTTCCCACCATTCCAATTTTGGTCCTTAGCTCCATAAACCGAAGACGGCCGAGTGGCTTGGTAAGGATGTCTGCGAGCTGCTGTTCGGATTCGACAAACTTCAAAACAATATATCCTTCATCGACCCAATCACGGATGAAGTGAAAACGGGTATCGATGTGCTTGCTCCGGTCATGGAGGACTGGATGTTTTGCAAGGGCAATGGCGGGCTGGTTGTCCACCATCAGACCTGGTGGACGAGCTTCCTCGCCGGTCAGTTCACCTAGCAACCGACGCAGCCAGACCGCCTGACATGCCGCTGTGGCTGCCGCCACGTACTCCGCCTCGCACGTAGACAACGCCACGATCTTCTGTTTCAGCGACTGCCATGAGATTGGGGCCGATCCAAGGAAGATGAGCACACCGGAGGTGCTCTTCCGCCCATCAATGTCGCCTGCCATGTATGCATCGCTGAAAAGCGTGAGTCGCAGCCCTCTTCCGACGCCGGTCTTGGGAAAAATGATGCCCTGGTCCACTGTCCCCTTGACATAGCGCAACAACCGCTTTACCGCAGCCCAATGATCCTCACGGGGTTCCTCCATGAAGCGGCTGACATAGCCCAAGCGAATGCGATATCTGGCCTCGTGTGGACTAGGTAGCGTAGCCCGCCGATGATACTCCGGTAGAGTGTTGCATCAACCTTCTCCGCGGTGCTGGCTTTCGTCAGCTTCAGCCGCTCCTCCATCGGAGTCGCGCATGACTTGCAGTCAGCCATGCCGCTCCGCTCCAATAGCTTCCCTGCATATGCACGCTAGCAAAGAGTGATGGAGTCCCTCCCCTGCTTCACCTCGAGGCCGAGGTAGTAGGAGAGCTGCCCGAGATTGCTCATGCGGAAACGAGCTGCCATCTCGCGCTTGAAGCCGTTGATGTCCCCTTCTCTTGCCCCTGTGATGATCAAGTCATCCACATATACGCCAATGACGAGCTCCTCCTTCCCCGTCGTCGCGTGTAGAGCGCGTGTTCTGTCGCGCAGCGCGTGAACCCAAGCGTACCCAGGGTGTCATCGAGCTTGGCGTTCCACGCTCGCGGGGCTTGTCGCAGCCCATAGAGTGCCTTCCGCAGCCGCAACACATTGTGCTCCTCTCCCTTGACGGCGAAGCCCGGGGCTTGCTTGACGTGGACAGTCTCCGCTAGCTCGCCGTTGAGGAAGGCCGATTTCACGTCTAGGTGATGAATGCGCCAGTCCTTCGCTGCCGCCATGGCCAACAGTAGGCGAACTGAATCCATGCGCGCCACTGGTGCAAAAACTTCCTCAAAGTCGATGCCCTCACGCTGGATGAAACCGTGAGCAACGAGGTGCGCCTTGTGCTTGACTATGGCGCCACACTCGTCCCGCTTGACCTTGTAGACCCATTTGAGCCCGATTGGATGACAGCCTGGGGGTGGATCGACGAGCTCCCACGTCTCATTTTCCTCGATCACGTTCATCTCCTCTAGCATAGCTCGTCTCCAAGTGACATCACGCTCGGCCTGTGCGAAAGTCGATGGCTCCTCTGCGCTGACGAAGAGCAGCTCCTGATCGTCGAGTAATCGGCTTGCCAAGCCTGGTACAACCGAGTTGCCAACGAGGTTGTCCATCCTGCGAAACCTCACCTCCTCACCGTCGTGGAAGGCATCCACATATTCGTCGATGTCGCTTGGAGGAGAGGCGAACTCAACAGGTGTCCCCTGTCCTGCCGCAGCAGGGGACTGTGGTGGGGGCGTGTGCGCAGCCGCTGGTGGAGACTCTTCGCCCGTGCCCATGGCCGGACCTTGCGGCTCAACCGACGCAACCACAGTTGCTGGACTTGGCGCGTCCGCAGCTGGCTCCTCTGCTCTCGCATCTCCTCCTCCGTTGATCACCAAATGCTCGATGACAAACGTACCGCCGACGCCATGGGCTTCCCCCCCTGCCATTTCGTCGAACACCACATCCCGCGAGACCACCACCTTGCCTCCATGTGGATCGTAGAGCCGATAGGCCTTGCTCCCCTCCTCGTAGCCTAAGAACACCATCGGTGTGCTCCTATCCTCAAGCTTCGACAGGAACGTCCTCAGAAACGAGACGTCGGGCTGCCTGCCATGCCAAGCTTCGAATAGTGTCATGCCCTTCAGGGCCTTCGTGGGTGCGCAGTTGAGGATGAACACCGCCGTGCTCACAGCCTCTCCCCAAAACTCCGCCGGCATCCCTTTGCCTTCATCATGCTTCGAGCCATGCCCACCACGGTCTGATTCCGCCTCTTCACTACGCCGTTTTGTTGTGGTGAGTATGGCGCAGTATGATGGCAAACCACCCCCTGATCTGCACAGTACGCGGCAAATTCCACAGATGTGAACTCACCACCGCGATCCGTTCTTAGTACGCGCAGCCGCTTCCCTGACTCTGCCTCAGACCGCGCCTGGAATCGCTTGATCGCCTCCGCCGTCTGATCCTTACTCGTTAGGAGATACAACCACATGAAACGGCTACAGTCGTCCACGAGCAGCAGGAAGTAGCGTCTTCCGCCGTGCGTAGCCGGCGTGATCGGCCCGCAGAGGTCGCCGTGGACGAGTTCGAGGACGTCCGCCGCACGATACTTGGCTGCCTTTGGGAAAGGCAGCCGCCTCTGCTTCCCTGCCAGGCAGCTATCGCACAGCTCGCCTGCGTGCTCGATGTGCGGGAGCCCGCGTACCATCTTCCTCAGCCGACCGAGTGCGTCGAAGCTCAAATGGCTGAACCGAGCATGCCATAGCCATGGCTCCTCAGTGTGTCGTACCGCCAAGCACACCGGTTGCTCCACTTTCAGGTCGAGGAGGTAGAGGCGGTTTCGGGAACGCTGGACCTTAGCTTCCCGGTCCCTGAGCTTTAGCACGCCGCCTTTGACAAGCACCTCGCAGCCGTGCTCGTTGCCCGATGCTGACGATGCTTGATCGCATCTGCGGGATATAGTACACATCCGTCAATGCGCGGTGCACGCCGTTCTGACACCGGAAGATGACAGTGCCGCGACCTCGAATCTCCACCTTCGAGCCGTCGCCGAACTTCACCGTCCTCGTCACGCTGTCATCAAGCTCGGAGAAGGCCTCCTTGGAGCCGGTCATGTGGTTGCTGGCGCCGGAGTCCAGGTACCACCTCTGCTCCATGCCACCACCCATTCGTCCATGGTGGACTTGGGCACTCGACTCGTCGAGGTGAACGGCCTGCAGTGCCTTCCCCTGCTCTGTAGCCGCCGCCTTGACTTCCTCCAACTCTGGCTCGACGTCGTGCAACTTGCAGGTCGTTGCCATGAGAAGAGCTGGCTCCTCGTCGTCCACCTGCGCGAGGTGCGCCTCCCTCTTCTCCTTCTTGGGATTCTTGCAATCCCGGGCCCAGTGCCCTGTCTTCCCGCAGCGTCGACAAGTGTCCTTATCGATCGGACGTGCGTTGTTGCCGTCCTTCTTCTTCTGCGGGGCCTTGCCACGACGCTTGCCGTAGCCGCCACGGTTAGAGGAGCCTTCCCCGGGTCGCCGCTCGCGCATACGAGCTGCCCATTCTTCCTCGGTCAGTAGTAACTTGCCGCTGGTAGTTATCGTCGTCGTCTCCACGCAGTCATCCACTGCCCGCAAGCGCCCAGTCACATCCTCAATCGTGAGGGTGGACATGTCGATCAACGTCTCGATGGAGAGCGCATCTGGGCATACTTAGGCGGCACGACGCGCAAGTACTTCGCGACCGCCTCCTCATCGGTGATGTGCGCCGCCAGCTGACTGATGAGCGACTACAAACGGAGCGAGAAATCCTCCACTACCTTGCCATCGCGGAATGCCAGCGCCTCGTACTCTCGCCACAGCTGCTGCGCCTTCGCCTTCTTTGCGCGATCAGACCCGATGCGCATGGCCTTGAGGGCGTCCCAAGCAGCCTTTGCGGAGTCCTTTGCGCCCAGCGACTCCACGTACTCGTGAGGCACAGCGGACAAAATCGCTTCCATCGCTGCGCAGTCCTCTTCTTCATCCTCAGTGCCTTCCTCGATGGCCCGCCAAAGCTTGCGCGCACGCAACTTGACCTTCATCAGCACCGCCTACTCACCGTAGTTTGTGCGTGTGAGGACCGGCCAGTTGGCCCCGCCAACGTCTCGCACGGTCCTGTGGATGATGACCTCCTCCCTTGCACCATCGGCGCAACATTTTGGCTTGCCATGGCTCTGATGCCACTTGTTAGTCCCTGCTCGTTCACTGCTCAGGTAAGCAAAAATGCTTCCGGCACAAACGAACACTTTTAGGATGAAAGAAGAAGATTGCGAACAACTCAATGTATTGAGTATTAAGTTTTTCTGTGTCTTTACAAAACAAAAACTGCATCCCTAACTATCCTAGTGACTTTCCTAGAAATTACTTAAGTTGAAAAGTCATGGAAAATCAGCCTAAAATGGCTGCCATGAAAGTGCTTTGCAGCTGCAAGGAAGTTGCAGCTGCACTAACAAGGAAGCTGCCAGAAAACAACAGATTAGCAGAAAGCAAGGAAGAGATGTATGTTCCTTTTCGCCCAAGTAGAATTGATTCTACTGATTAGCAGAAAGCAATACGAGCTACACGTTCCATTGCACACGAACTTGCTTTCCTTCCCCGTGAATAACTTTTTGGTCAATCTATATGAGATCTATATGAGGAGTACAATTGAACAACAATTCATTTTGAAAACAAATATCACGAACTAACAAATCCTTTATTTAGGGTGTGTTTGTTTATAAGTTTATCATTTCATATTCAATCTATAATCAAAATCTAACTCAACTTTAATCCAACTCACTATCCTCAATATTATCTGTATAATTGTATAATATAAATCAATCATTCTTACACATCGCAACAACTTTAATTCAGTATTCACCCACAAACATAATTTAAACTAGCCATCATTTCACATCATCTCTCTCCTACTTTCACATCAAATCAACTTCAATTAATTTATTTTAAATATTATTTTAATATAAACTCAAGATTCCACTAACAACTAACCATACCACATTTTTCAAAACTAATATGGTTAACCAAAAAATCTTATTTTGAGCAGACATATTTGTATCCAAGTACGCCCTTACTCGTCTCACATTTTTCTCTCTATTTTTCCAATACCATTTTTAAATTAAAAATCTATGATTACTACATATTTTCTACAATCTTTTTGATTCTCCACTCACATATTTATGGTTACCTATACAATTTTCTTATCACATAATTAATTATTACTTTTTCTATACATCACTTTATATCATAAAATTCATTAGTTTTTCCACTTTCTATCTTTCCCCAACAAAATATTTTTCACTCAAATGAGACCATATCCAATTGCACCCTCGGGCGTTTCAGCTCAACGCCTCATCTGCCACTACACCTCATGGGACACAATCGACTCAATTGGAGGAGTTTACTCTTTTGTCATTCAAAAGTCTGGCGAATCTGAAGGAGTGCCACCAGTTTGGCATAATGACCACAAGATTGTTCTTTTAGTGGGCACAATCCAGTATTAATTAAGCCGCGTTGCTTTGGTTACTCAGAGGATGAAACTGAATGAGACTCAGCGGGAATGAATCATTCAGCCAAGCGTAAGCCCATTTTCCAGTCCAGTTTTACTCGTGATGAATAAGGATGGTAGGTGGCATTTTTGTGTCGATTATTGAGAAGTGAATAAAGTTATAGTGGCGGATAAAGGCCACATTCTGATTATCTTGGAGATGTTAGATCAACTAAATGACACCCCATATTTCAACTAAATTGATCTTTGGTTCACTACCATCAAATTATAGTGGTGCCCGATATAGATTTAAATGATTAATGACGATCCAAGGCGATTTGCTCATGGGACCATGGGCGAGGCCTCACCAACTCAAGGCACCAAAGCATAAGAAACTATAATATTTATGGTGCAATCACATTTGGCAAAGTCAACCTCAAATATTTAATGAACATAACATTAGAAACAAAGACACAAATTATAATTATAACAAATGAATAATAAAAACATGAAATAAAATAAAAGGCAAATAATAGAAACTTAATATAAAAATAAAAATAAATAAAAAATAAGAAAGTTACTAACAGAGAAAGAGCAACATAAAAAAGAAAATATAACTGACTAGTTATCCATGGTTACCTACCATATGACATTTTAGCCGTTAGCCAGTTAACCATAGCGTCGAGTCATGGCCCGAGTTTTGGTCCACTGGGAGGGACACTCAACTGATGAAGCAACGTGGTAGGATCTCTCATATTTCAATGGCACTTTCCTAGTTATAGCCTTGTGGAAAATATTATATCTCTGCCTCTGGTGGGTGTTAATGATGGAGATGTAAGGAAAAAAAAGAGAAAAATAGTGGATTGTGTACCAGTGATGTGATATTGGAAGCACGAATCATGGGATTAGCTGTAATTTGCGTATCCTGGCCTATTGGGGCATGGAAGGCTATCGAAACTTTCTTTATTATCGTACTTTCTCTTAATAGTAATAATCTTATAAATGCAAGTGAGGAGGTTCAGTTCAGGCGTCAAGAAAAATAATCTCAATAGCTAGAGGCTATTGGGAATGTTATCTTGCTGGGAAGCAACCTACTTCTGTCCTTGTTCTTTGTTTTTTTTCTTTAAATTAATAAATATGTATTGTGTGATTTAATTCTCTGATCCTTTATTCGTACAGAGAACACCAGCTGCGTCATGACTCTAAAGTGGCTAATCATATATGCAACTATAATATTTCATTATTCAGTGATTCTTGATATCACTTGCATGTAACATGCAATTTTCCTTTTTCATTCTGGCAGAATTGTGCAGAGGCTTGAACTTTCCAAGTCAAGAGCTTCAGTACTTAGTTCGGTCAGCCACTAAGTTCTTATTCTAGTGCACTTTACTTTACAGAAGTTCTATATAATATTTTGCATTAATGTCTTTGCTCGTTTATTTTGTAGGGTATTACAACCATTGGAAACTCCTTATTCTTCTTGGGGAGTCGTTTGGGTGATAGTCTGCTCGTGCAATACAATTCTGGAGAGGAAGTTTCCACACTGACTCCTGGCATGAAAGAAGAGGTCTGTAATTTTATTGTGTAGAGCATAATTTTTTGCGGAGCTCAGAAGTTTGATGGATTTCCAGTTGACTTTCATAAAAGAAATCTTGATTTCAAAACCTTAATGCATCACAATTTGTTTTAAGTTTACAACTAATCTGACATTTTGCTAGGAGTTGAAAGCTTGTAGACCATACTATGCTACAAGAATAATTAACTGAACACTTGTATGCTTAATTTCTTATTTATTCGTAGTTTGAGGATATTGAAAGCGATGCTCCTTTGACCAAGAGGCTGCGGAGGTCTCCCTCAGATGCATTTCAGGATTTGGTTGCCGGCGACGATCTTTCTTTCTATGGCACTGGACCAAATAAAACTCAGTTAACTCAGGTTAAATTGTCTGTGATTTAACTAGTAAATTTTAATCAAAGTTAACTGGTAGCATTTGGTGGTAATAACATGGAATCGTATCAGGCATGCCTTTTCCATTTCTAACAAATGGCTTGCTGATTATTATTTATGCAGAAATCTTTCACATTTGCAGTAAGGGATTCGTTACTTAATGTTGGTCCCCTGAAGGATTTCTCTTATGGTTTGAGAATTAATGCCGATCCTAATGCTACAGGAATTGCGAAGCAAAGTAACTATGAATTGGTTAGTTATAATTTCAGCTGGTTGAGAGCTTCGTACTCGAAATTGAATGGAAAATTACATCATTTTCTTGCAAAGACTAGCTTTGATTAATGTTGATTGCTATTTACTGGATGACAGAAGTCTTCATTAGATTATTTAAGTTGCTGCCTTTTATCCAGTTTAGACCTTTTCTATATGATTTTGTTTGCAGAACTACCGAACTTTGTCTGCATCTTCACAAACCCGCTAAAATCCCTTTTTTGGATCTTGTTCAGGTTTGCTGTTCAGGTCATGGAAAAAATGGTGCTCTTAGTGTGCTCCAACAATCAATCCGGCCTGATACAATAACTCAAGTACATAGTGCTCTCCTGTTGTGCTTGTCAACATTTCTTTTATGCAATTATGCAGGATTTTCTGAAATGAGTTCATCGTCGTGTATGATAAGCTCTAAAAGTTTGTGTTTTATAAGGATATGAGGACTCAAGAATCAAGATCCATTGATGGTGTTTTCATCTCCCCTCTTTTAGTGCTTTTTCAAGTGTTCTCTGATGTGTACATAGGTTTTCGGTTTACGACTTCGGTTCTCAATTGGTTAAACTGAAAAATGAAAATATTTGCTTGTGGGTAGCTGTGTGAGTAAATTTGCTGTAAAGCATGGTTTGTATTTCTGATTAGCAGAAAAAGAAATCAAATGCAAATTTTGGTGTACGAAAAAAGAACATTTAATTAGAACATTTTGTCGCCTATTGGAAAACCAATGGTTGGTTCTATTGAAATAATGGTAATGAATCATTCTGTTGAGTTCAAGTTTCTAAATGCCTTGAAAAGATAGTTGTTTGGAATGTTGAAAAGTAGTATGAAATCTCGGGGTTTTGGGTTTTTTCTTATCCAGCCTAAAATAGGTATAGTTTTCTGAAACTGTTTGCATAGCAAATACTGTGATTTATCACCTTTGGTCTAAGCATATGCTGCTTGAAGAGTGGCAAAGTGTTCTTTATCCTGCAATATGTTCTTATGACTAATTATCTGTAATTTTGTCAGAAGTCTTTAGAAGGTTTCCTGTTTTGTGTGATCAAATATGATAGTACTTGCTGTATCTTTGAAGGAATCGTTACCTGGTTGCAAAGGGATTTGGACTGTCTACCACAAGAATGTACGCAGTGATTCCTCAAAAGTGGCAGCCGATGAAGATGAATATCATGCATATTTGATTATTAGTTTGGAAAATCGTACGATGGTATGTAGTTAATTTTTCTGTTAAGATGTTTCCGCGGAAAATTTGTTTCTTTTTGTAAAAATCTAGTTGTTCTGAACCTGTGATTTTTTTTAATGGTTTCCGTATTTAAATTGTGGTCTGTTCTTGTGCTATAGGTACTGCAAACAGCTAACAATCTTGAGGAGGTAACTGAAAATGTTGACTACTACGTCCAGGGAAGTACAATTGCTGCCGGAAATTTGTTTGGAAGGTGCCCTTGCCTAAAACTCAACATATAATATGTGTGTGGTCTTTCGGGCCAGCTATTTTTCACCTGTATTTCTGATTTATATATTATCAATTTGGTTAGTGAAACACTAAGAAAGGAAAGTAATTAATTGGTGATTTACTATATCTTCTAGTGTTGGCAATTCCCAGAGAATAAGAGTTTGTAAGTAATTCAGTTAACTGACTTTAATAGACTAACAGTCCAATGAGAAACTCAACTTAAATGAGTATCACAATGAAATGAAATGCAAACCTATAATCTTGAAAATAGAAAGGAGAAATGTGGAAGAACAATGTGTGTGAAAATACATACAAAGTGAGAAATCATGAAAAAAGGGACTGTTTTTCCCTAATCTAATAATTTTATTTTACAATCAAGGTATGTAGAAGTTGTTTGGGGGGGTGGAGGGAGCCACAAACTGGCTTCTTCTCTGGTTTTAAGAGTTAGGTCACATGGATTATGCCCGTCTCTGGACTACAACATATTCTCGTGAAATTATGCAACAAATATTCTTAAACATGAATAATGGTCAAATATATGATGAAATAAATGACGATTGGTTCTGGGAGCTGAAATTCTTCACTGATCAGCAGTTACTCAACACGATGGTATTGATGTTTTTCTTCTTTAGATATCTGATAAGTAGATGTTGCTTCTTTGATATATTATTTAGTTATTTATTTTGAGTTTTTGATTTGATTCTAGAGGTTTAATAGGTGGAAACATTTTGTTCGTACTTTTTAAGCAGACGGCGAGTTATCCAAATATTTTCTCATGGTGCTCGGATTCTTGATGGTGCTTTTATGACTCAAGAATTGAGCTTTAAATCTTCTCAGTCAGAAGTTGCAGCTGCTGAAGGGACTAATGTGTCATCTGTTTCTATAGCTGATCCTTATGTGTTGCTGAGAATGACTGATGGAAGTATTCAGCTTCTTGTTGGAGGTACTTCTTACAGACAATTATTGAGAGTTGGAATATTTTTCAGGAAACTGAAGATAATATTTATGTATTTTATTTTTTTTTTTTACATGTAAACTCTATCCCATTGTAAAGAGCATCAGTTCATCAGATTTCCCGAAAATGTTGCAACACCACCATTGTACTGCATATTGCGATTTGCACAGTAAAACATACTAAATATGGACCACATGAAAATGGGTTGTGCCGCCCATGCATACCACCATTTTTGCTTCTAATTCAATTTTAGAACATCAAGTTCTACTTCGTTTGTAAGATCCTAAATATTAAATTATTCATTATGACTGTTTATTTGTTTTAGAACATCAAGTTCTACTTCATTTGTAAGATCCTAAATATCAAATTATTCATTATGACTGTTTATTTGTTTTTTTTATCTGAATGAAATGTTAATAAATTAAGAGTTCATTTCATTTAAGATCTAATGAGTTACGTTATGTAGATAAACTCAAAATTTTCATGATTAAGCAATTTAATATTAGTGACTTTGATGTAACTAAAACAATAATGGTGCTGGTATTGACTTTTCAATTAAATATTATCTGTTTGCTTATCTTGAAATTGAAAGAGAATTGATTACTGTATGGTATTATTTCTGTTTGCTTTTTTGGAAAGATTGTTACTTTTGATTAAAAACTTTCCTCTTGCATGGTGTATGATGATAGTCAATAATCCCAGTCTAGTTACCGCCATAAAAGGTTCGACAGCAACTTAGGGATGGAGGATATAGCATGATTTTTGTGTCTCTGTAAAGCATAGACAGTAACTTTATGATTGAAAATGAATGTTGGTTGTAAATATGTTTACATGTGTGTCTGTTCGTATGTGTGAGAAACTCTATCAACCATTATCAATGCCTTGTGATATGGATTTTACTTGGCAAGCAATTTTCTGCTGAACTGTACTTAGTCTTATCTTGATGCTTGTTCTGCTGTGTCAGATCCATCCACATGCTCTGTTTCTGTCACCATTCCATCAGTATTTGAAAGCTCCAGTAAAGTGGTATCAGCTTGTACTCTCTATCATGATAGAGGGCCCGAACCATGGCTTAGGAAAACGAGTACCGATGCCTGGCTTTCTACTGGGATTGGTGAGGCTATTGACGGGGCGGATGGTGTTACACATGACCAGGGTGATGTATACTGTGTCCTGTGCTATGAAAGTGGAAATCTCGAGATACACGATGTGCCCAATTTTAGCTGTGTTTTCTCAGTTGATAAGTTTGTATCTGGAAGTAGCAACATTCTGGATATGTTTTCCCACGGCCCAGCCAATGATCCTGCAAAACTCACGAACAAATATTCTGAAGATGATGGAAATGGAAGGAAAGTTACCCAACACGGTATAAAAGTCGTTGAGTTGTCCATGCAGAGATGGGCCGGAGAACATAGTCGTCCATTTCTGTTTGGAGTACTGTCTGATGGTAGCATTCTTTGTTATCATGCTTACATTTTTGAGGTTTCGGAAAATACTTCCAAGTCTGAGGTTAATGATAGCAACATAAGTCCATCCAGACTTAGAAATTTACGATTTGGCCGAGTCCCTTTGGACACATACGCAAGAGAGGAGACACAATCCGGAACCCAACGCTTAACTATTTTCAAGAATGTTGGTGGTTTACAAGGTTTTTTCCTCTCTGGATCAAGGCCCTCTTGGTTCATGGTGTTTAGGGAGCGAATTCGATTGCATCCGCAGGTTAGTTTGGTTTACTAGATCCACAAGGATTTCGAATTTCAGCTTATATGTACTTGAATATTTTATTTCAGTGTTCCAGTTGTAACCAGTCTATCATTAGAACTTACGGACTCAATTTAACTTATGTTTCAGGTTTGTGATGGACCCATAGTGGCCTTCACTGTTCTTCACAATGTGAATTGTAATCATGGGTTTATATATATTACTTCAGAGGTTGGCTATGGTACCATCTTATTCAAATTTTGAATTTTATCATTGCTACGGGACTGTTATTATGTATTTGTGTGAGTTGGGCACCCTCTCCCTTTGAGCTAGCTTGAGGATGAGTTCTCCCCTGGTGTATGAACAGAAAATTAATTTTTGCTTTCTATTGTTTTTTCATTTTTGTATTCTCTTTAGGGTGCTCTGAAAATTTGTCAACTACCTGGTTTATTGTCGTACGACAACCATTGGCCGGTCCAAAAGGTTAGTTAACATCTCTGTCTCGCTGCAAATTGATTCTGTTGAGCTAATATGAAATGCCTTCTATGTCAGTTCTTTGTACCTTGGCTTTATACTGTTTTATCTGAAAATATGCAGATAGCATTGAAGGGGACTCCACATCAAGTTACTTATTTTTCTGAGAAAAACTTGTACCCGCTCATAGTTTCCGTTCCAGTGAGTGTTTTTTTTTATCTTATATTTAGCTGTGACTAGTCCTTCATTCCCTTTATGTTGCTTCACGAGAACCTTAACAAGATTTAATTAATGTCCGTTTTTCATGGACTTTAACAATCATCAAGTTTTCTTTCTCCATCTTGATTCTTGATACGAGCAGAATGGCAATTACATGAATGTTAAGTAATCATTATGTTCCTCATATTTTGATTTAGGTTCTCAAGCCACTTAATCAAGTCCTATCATCTCTTATCGATCAAGAAGGTGGAAATCAATTTGAGCACGATAATTTGGGTTTGGAAGGGACCTATCCAATGGACGAATATGAGATCCGAATCATGGAACCAGAAAAAACAGCTGGTTCATGGGAAACTAGGGCTACAATCCCAATGCAAAGTTCTGAAAATGCTCTCACCGTTCGAGCGGTTACATTATTTGTAAGTCATTAGCTGCATCATTTCGCCTTAAAAGTATATTTTCCTTTTCCCCGTATTATGTCGGCAGTTTTGCTTGTGGCAGTATTTTCTTTCTAGAAATACTTGAAACTTAATATGTGGAGTAACTCTCGTGCTGTTCATATTTTCTGTATACTTTCAGAACACCACGACGCAAAGAAATGAGACACTATTGGCAGTTGGAACTGCTTATGTACAAGGAGAGGATGTTGCAGCCAGAGGACGTGTGCTTTTGTATTCTGTGGAAAGGAATTCCGACAATGTACAAGTCCAGGTAGCTTATTGTTTAGCTTGGGTTTTTTTCTCTCCCTTTCATTTCATGCCACTTTTGCAAGTCCTCGGAGGCTTCAATTGGCTAGAATGCGGCATATTCTGTTTTTATCTCACTTCGTATTTTAATATCCTGCAAATGCATGAGTACTTGAACTTTATCCTGGTCCTTCTAGGTTTCAGAAGTCTATTCCAAAGAGTTGAAAGGTGCTATATCTGCTGTTGCTTCACTCCAAGGTCATTTGTTGATAGCTTCAGGTCCTAAGATTATTCTGCACAAGTGGACGGGTTCTGAACTGAATGGTGTGGCCTTCTATGATGTTCCACCGCTCTATGTTGTGAGCTTAAACATTGTACGCACCTAAACATTTTTTTGATTGTTTATTCATCTTCAGTTGTATGAGAAGATGGATAAAGCTATGTTTATTTGTTGAATGGGTCAGTTATTTGTTTCATTTTGATCTGAATTACCTAAGCATCTGTATGATTAGTTTGTGGTTTATGTAATTTAGGTTCATGTGTTCTTTCCATGCTAGTTGTATACAGGTGGATGTATATCTAAATATATTCTTTGCTTAGCCTTTTTATTTTGCTGTTAATAGTTTTTATTTATATTTTCTTACTAGATTTAAGCTTGTCACTAATTATCATTCAGTAGCTCAGATTGTCATCTCTGTTCAGAGAGATTTATTGCCTTAGCATCTATGTATTCAAATGATGTTGGTTTTAATAGTTTATTTCAATTAGATTTACGAAATCCTTAGTTCTACTATAAATTATCCTCTTTACTGGGTTATTATGAACTTGCAAGCTATTGGGTTGGAACTGGTGTTAACGATAACGCTTTTCCAGGTTAAAAATTTTATTCTTCTTGGTGATATTCACAAAAGCATATACTTCCTTAGTTGGAAGGAGCAAGGCTCTCAGCTTAATTTATTGGCAAAAGATTTCGGCTCACTTGATTGTTTAGCAACTGAGTTTTTGATTGATGGAAGCACACTCAGTCTCACTGTTTCAGATGATCAAAAGAATGTTCAGGTTAGCACATTTCTGCATATGTTGTGAAACTTTTCATGTTAGAATATCTTGTTTACTGTTTCGGATTAGTCAAGCTTAAATTTGCACAGCAAAAATCATCCTTCCTATAAAGATTTGAATTTTACTAATTCGAGTTGTGTACAAAAGCACTTTTATGGTTTATTCTGACCTCTAAAATCACAAACATCCTTCACGTGTAGTTCTGTATTACGAAGTACTCCCTCAGTTGGTTTGTCTGTTAAGAAAGTTAAAAGCTTAGTGGGTAGTTCCCTAATATAGTAAGGGTGTATTTGTAATTTTTGAAGAGAAATGGGCTTTTATGTAATAAGGTGAAGGTCGTACTACATAAACTTAATGGATTGTGGTAGCTTAGATAATTCTCTCTCTGTCTCTGTAAGAGTGGGGTGTAATTACAATATTCAGTTTTAATTTAAGGTACACAAACTACTTTTGATGGTGATTTTGCAACATACAGATATTTTACTATGCCCCCAAAATGTCTGAAAGCTGGAAAGGACAGAAGCTACTATCCCGGGCCGAGTTTCACGTTGGGGCCCACATTACCAAATTTTTACGCCTGCAACTACTCCCTACATCCGTAGACCGGATGGCTCCGGGCTCTGATAAAACAAACCGGTTCGGTCTGCTTTTTGGAACCCTAGATGGCAGCATAGGCTGCATTTCCCCTCTCGAGGAGCTCACTTTCCGTCGCCTTCAGTCATTGCAGAAGAAGCTTGTGGACACCGTTCCCCATGTTGCGGGCCTAAACCCAAGGTCCTTTCGCCATTTCCGTTCAAACGGGAAAGCCCATCGGCCCGGGCCTGACAGCATTGTGGACTGTGAGCTACTTTCGCAGTATGTACTTCTTTTTGCTCGTTTTATCCTTAAAGTTTAGCAAGGTTATGGGAAGATATGATTTCTTACTCAAATACAAGGATACTACGAATATTGCTCTTAATGTTTTTAGCTTAATTACCAAAAATTAGCCGCGACAAATATTCGTTGACGTGTGTGTTTCTATTTTACAAACTGGCAATGTGTTTGTAATTTGGAAAATAGTTGGATTTAATTCTCCATATATTTGATTTCTATTCGCTTATTCTTGCCAATGAATTCGCAGCTATGAAATGCTCCCACTGGAAGAGCAGCTCGATATTGCTCAACAAATTGGAACTACACGAATGCAGATCATCTCCAACTTGAACGACCTCACTCTCGGCACAAGCTTCTTGTGAGTAACTGTTTTATCCAAGATTCTTCGTCGTAAATTTGCAGAAGGTGCAGGCTGAAGAGTTCCTCCTCCACAGTACAATCTGCTGCTAGTTAAGATTGGAGATTAGTTTCTTGGCAACCTTGTTTGTATTTGAATTATTCTTTTTATTTATTTTTTATGTTGTTTTGAGCAGTTTCATCGATGAATATAGCTGTAGCTATCAATTGATTTTATTGTAGCATTTAAATTATTGAATTGTTAGATCTTATGTTCTGAGTTTCTTTCTCTTTGATTTTCTTATGAAGTTTTTTTTTTTTTTTTTTTTTTTTTTTTTTTTTT